GGGTGCCTGTAGTCCCAGCTTCTTGGGAGGTGGAGGCAGGAGACTTGCTTGAGCCCAGGAGTTGGAGGTTGCTGTGAGCTATGCCATGGCACTCTACCTAGGGCTACAGCTTGAGGCTCTGTCTCAAAAAAAACAAAGGAAAAAGGAAAAAGAATGCTTATTCCTCAGGGAAGATACCATATCTGAGTCCTCTCTGAATCTCTGTTGGCACAATTCTTATTTCAGAGCAGGTATATGATAAATATTAGAGGGTCATCTTTGATTGTTTTCTCCCTCTTTTATCCTTTCCATACTTGTGCTCTTAAGTCAATCACTTCTAATTCTTACCCATCCCTTCCTCTTAGTACATATCTCTTGACATGTCCTTTCTTCATTTTCTCTATTGTCATCTCACTAGTTTACACTATATAGGTTGCAAGAAGTGTCATCTGTCTTGATATCCTCCTCTCCTTTCCATCACTGCAAAGTCAACCCTTCCCAAACAGCTCTTACCATGTTACTTTCTTGCTTGATAACTACTATGATTTAAATTTAGGTACTGCCAATGTGATGTATTGAAGTGAGGCCTCTAAAAGGTAATGAGGTGATGAGGACTCCTCCTCTCATGAATGGGATTAGGTATCCTTATAAAAGGGTTTGAAGGAGGGAGTTCAAACTCTATCTAACTTTCTAACTTCTAGCATCTGAGAACAGATCATGAAGGCCCTTATTAGACACCAGATGCTAGTACCTTGGTCTTGGACTTCACAGCCTTCAGAACTGTAAGAAATACATTTCTGTTCTTTTTTTTTTTGAGACAAAGCCTCTAGCTGTTGCCCTGGGTAGAGTCACAGCTCACAACAACCTCCAACTCCTGGGCTCAAGTGAGTTTCCTGCCTCCACCTCCCAAGTAGCTGGGACTACAGGCGCCCACCACAATGCCCGGCTATTTTTCGGTGCAGCCATCATTGTTGTTTGGTGGGTCTGGGCTGGATTCGAACCTGACAGCTTAGGTGTTATGTGGCTGGTGCCTTAGCCGTTTGAGCCACAGGCACCGAGCTTCTGTTCTTTATAAATTACTTAGTCTGTGATATTGTTATAGTAGCACAAATAAAGACAGTAACTTTTACTACTAAAGTTTACTACTAAATACTTTTGCTTGGCCTTTAAGACACTCAACAGGTTGGTCTCAATTTTATTTTTCTAGACTTATATCTTGCTACACTGTATTTCCATATTGTACTTTTCCAAACTCCATATCCTTCTATTCCACATACCATTTATTTTCTCACAGAATGATTGTAGTCCCATGGCTGCCTCCCGAAATTCTAACCATTTTGGAAGACACAGTTCAATGTTACCTCCTACGTGGAGGCTTCCTGTCTAGTCCAGAAGGGCACAATTTCTCTTTTTATTTTTGCTCTTAACAGTGCTTAGGGAGACAACTCTCATTTAGTTTACAATAAAAGAGATCACTTACATACATTTCTTGTCTTTCCAAATATGCCTTATGTTTCTTTGTATTTTACACAGCTCATTATCTTTTTTTTTTTTT